GAAGGAGAGGGAATGAGAGAGAGAGAGAGAGAGAGAGAGAGAGAGAGAGAGAGAGAGAGAGAGAGAGAGAGAGAGAGAGAGAGAGGGAGATAGATATAGATAGAGATAGAGAGACAAACGGTTGAAGGAGCTCTGGAAGCTTGAGTGGGGGGGGGGGGAGGGTAGTATATGCTAAAAGGGGCAAGAAAGTTAGGGTAAAGGGGGAGGGGGAGGGGGAAGGGGGGAGGGAAGCACGGAAGAGGAACAGTATTTGAACAGGACGGGCCTCTGTGTTTGTCCAACCAGAACAAAAAATACCAAGAAGCTAAAAAAAAAAGGGATAGAGAAAAAGTGAGAAAGAGAGAGAAATATGTATAATATGCATATAATCCAATACGTAAACGACCGGGTATACGTATTCATGAATCAGCTGCCCGACTGCAGAAGCCGTGCAGGACCCCCCCCCCCCCCCCCCCCCCCCCCCCCCCCCCCCCCCCCCCCCGCTCCCTAACCCGCGCGATCTGCAAACCACAAACCACAAGGAAGCGCATCACAACACGCAACGCAAACAGCAAGAGAGAGAGAGAGAGAGAGACAAAGACAGAGAAAGAGACAAAGATAGATAGATAGATAAGTAGATAGAGAGAGAGAGAGGGAGAGAGAAAGAGACAAAACAGAGAGAGAGAGAGAGAGAGAGAGTTAGAGAGACAGAGAGAGACAGACAGAGAGAGAGAGAGAGGTAGATCCCGAACCGGTGTCTGGGCGTCCTGCTACCTTCTATACACCCCCACCCCCCCCTCCCTCGGGCCTTCGGAGCGGAAATGCCGTGGATGAGATGGGCTGCTCCTCGCCCTCGTCCTTCTCCCTACCCCCCTTCGGTCTCTCTCCCTCTCCTCCCTTTTCCTTTTTTTCACTCTTTCTCTCTCTTTCTTTTTTCTGGTTTCCTTGAAATCATCATCCTTCCCTCGCTCTTTCTCCTTTTTTTCTTCTATTTCTTCTTCTTCTTCCTCCCTTTCCTTCTTCCTTTTACTTCTCCTTTTTCTTCTTTCCCTCCCTCTCCTTCTTCCTCTCTCCCCCTTCTTCTTCTTCTTCTCCTCTCCCTCCCTTACTATCATCCTCCCTCCCTCTAACCCTCTCCCTCCCTTACTATCATCCTCCCTCCCTCTAACCCTCTCCCTCCCTTCCCCCTCCTCCACCCCCCTCCCCTCCCTCCCCCACTCTCACTCCCTCTCACTCCCACGCTCGAATCTGTAATACTAATGATCTCACTGTCTGCAATGCTCTCTCGGCGTTCAAAGAGAAGCATTTGAATTTCCCGCCTTTTAAACTCCCCCTCCCCCCCTCCTCCCCCTCCCCTCTCCCCCAACCTTCGACTTTCCCTCTCCCCCTTACAGCTACTCACCCCCCCCCCTACCACCTCTTTTCCCGCTTATGTGTGTGTGTGTGTGTGTGTATGTGTGTGTATGTGTGTATATGTGTGTATATGTGTGTGTGTATATGTGTGTGTGTGTGTGTGTGTGTGTGTGTGTGTGTGTGTGTGGTGTGTGTGTGTGTGTGTGTGTGAGAGAGAGAGAGAGAGAGAGAGAGAGAGAGAGAGAGAGAGAGAGAGAGAGAGAGAGAGAGAGAGAGAGAGAGAGAGAGAAAGAGAAAGAAAAAAAAAGAAAAAAAGAGAGAGACAAAAAAAAGACAAAAAGAAAGAAAGAAAAAAAAAAGACACAGAAACAGACAGAAAAGTAGAGAAACCATTAATACGTCTCGTGTACGCATATATGTTAACACGTACACACAACCCAATCTCTCCCTAACCACGTGTATGCCTATTTACCTTTATTCTCGTCCTTTCATCTAACACAACGACGATTTTAACTCCCCCCCCCCCTTAATCCCCAACCTCCAGAAACGTACTATTTACACACGGAACGCTTAAAAGAAAAGGGAATAGCCCCCCCCCCCCCCACCCACACACACATACTCACATACACACACCATTTTTTTTTTTTCTATAGGCCTACCTGTCGCCTTCTCCAGCTGAGGCTTGTTTCCGAAGGCGTCAAGGAAGAACTCTCTATCTTTCTCTTTCTCTCTCTCTCTCTCTCTCTCTCTCTCTCTCTCTCTCTCTCTCTCTCTCTCTCTCTCTCTTTCTGATCTTTTGGGCTTGGTTTATCTATTTTTTTTTTCTTTTTCTACTGTTTTTTTTTTTAAAGAGGGAGGAAGCGAGAAAAGGGGGGGGGGAGAAGGGAAGAGGGAGGGAGGGAGGGAGGGAGAGGGAGAGAGGAGAGGGAGGGGAAGGGAGAGGGAGGGAGGGAGGGAGAGAGAGGAGAGAGAGAGAGAGAGAGAGTGAGAGAGTGAGAGAGTGAGAGAGAGAGAGAGAGAGAGAGAGAGAGAGAGAGAGAGAGAGAGAGAGAGAGAGAGAGAGAGGAAGAGAGAGAGAGAGAGAGAGAGAGAAAGAGAGACAGAGAGAGAGAAAGAAGGACACAGAGACAGAGAGAGAGAAAGAGAGACAGGAAAAAAAATGTTCTCATCATATATATATGCATTCTGTGCCGTCTTCTTTTAAATCAAAATTTCATTTTTTTTTCCACTATTATCATTATTATTAGCATCATTATCATCATCTTCACTTCACTTCGGAAAGAGGAATGGATATAATCACATTTACCTTCTTTTTTTATTAGAAAAGAGGGCAAATTTTGTTTTAAA